TTTCACATTATACATTTCCATTTTCCAAAATGACTGCTGGGAAACATCATCATAAAAATGTAGACGTCTTGTGTGGTAGGTCTTACAGAACCGGAAGGCTTGTCAACTAATTACAAGACATTGCATGTTGTGACCAGCAGATGTCAGTCTTTGCCAAAATATATTTCCATAAATCGTACCACACAGAGGCTCAACATGAGGACAGTAGAACAGTTGGGTATCATTAGTTTGACGTAAGTTAGGCTATATCTTATTCTGTGTTTGCTGAAGGTCAGCGTGATAAAATGAGGATCACTATACATCATGTCTGTGTGTGTGGGTGTGTCTGATAATTCCAGGTGACCCTAAACCGTGTTTTCAAAGCCCAGTGCAGCACATGTAAGTATGCAGTTAAACCTGCATGTTCTTATTTTTACCTGTTTCATTTTGTTTTATTCTTTGAATATAAAGACACTGGCTATGGTGTAAGATACAGTAAAAAGCACGTTGTGTATTAGTTGGCATTGTTGCTTCAAGATCCTGGGTTCAAATCCACTGGCTTCCACAGGAATTTGGATGTTGTCTCTAGGTACTCTGGCTTCCTCCCACAGTCCAAAAACACGCACGTTAAGTTAATTGGTGATTCTACATTGTCTGTCTCTGTGACAGCTGGCATAGGCTCCAGCTCGACTGTGAGTCTGAATTTGATGTGGATGGGCAGTAAACACTGTCAGAGATGTTCTTAGAGCTGTTTTGCTTCTGTGTACCCGTGTCAGGCACCAGATTTTGCGCTGACAATAAAAGCTGAGGAAGTAAAGCACTGATTTCAAGCAACACGATTATCTTCAAGTCATTACACACTTCCTATGGTTAAACACTGAAGATAATACAGTCATACCATCTGGGTGGAAATGACTTGCTGCTAAAATGCTGAAGTAGCCATATAAACCTTAGGGGACAGAGAAGCTTGGGTATGTTAGTAGAGACACAGCTGTAATATGCAATGTGAGGTGCTTTATGCAGTTAATTCAATACAGCACAGAGGCACTAGGTTTTCATAGAGGAGGGTAATAAATGTACTTGTTGGGTAATATTGTTGCACTTACTGCCAAATTAGTGATCTAATTAGATAACAATCAGGTTTAGTGTGACTCTTTGTGTTTAGCGTGACAGGGGCGATCGTGGCTCAAGAGTTCGGAGTTCGCCTTGTAATCGGAAGGTTGCCGGTTCAAGCCCCGGCTTGTTGTGTTCATTGGGCAAGACACTTCACCCGTTGCCCACTACTGGTGGTGGTCAGAGAACCCGGTGGCGCCAGTGTCCGGCAGCCTCGCCTCTGTCAGTGCGCCCCAGGGTGGCTGTGGCTACAATGTAGCTTGCTGTCACCAGTGTGTGAATGACTGGATGTGTAAAGCGCTTTGGGGTCCTTAGGGACTAGTAAAGCGCTATACAAATGCAGGCCATTTACCATCTTTAAAAAAATACTCTACTTTCATATTCATACATTAGAGAAAATCCATAACGTCTGCTATTATCTGCACTTGATATCAACTGGCTTTAACGAAATGAACATCTACAAGAGGATTTTTCTGTTAAAATTAAAAGTTGCGACAGTATCATAATAAAAACACCACCGTTAATTAGGTGTTATGAAAGCCGTGTACATACTTTGACATATTACTTCCTCATTAGTACAAATGAAAACATTCACTTGAGTATAAACTCTGCAATTATGTATTTTTTAATTCTAAACATACGTCATGTGCAACGTGTCTTTGACGTTTTGCAAGACGCACGAGAATTTGTTGCAAGCAGTCTTGCAATTTATTCTGTCAACATACTGTAAGACGACAGTGATTTTTCTGTTAATTGCTTGACTCATGCATTAAGCTGCGATAACACAACAGAGGTGTAGTGGTTGAAACTGACTTGTGTAAATTCTGCATGGGATGGTTTGTGAATTTTTGAAAACAAGCTTCAGAAAATATTTTTTATCATTACTTTTTTTCTAGAAAATTAAATGCTTGATGGTAAAAATTCCAAAAAATTCCTTGTCCTATATATATATAGTGGACAAGTGCATAAATTAATAAAAAGAAAAATATAAATAGCTGTTAACGAATCCTAGCTTGATAAAACAGCACACATCATAATCTCATGGCCATTCAATGCATTTATTTCAGATGTGTTAAGCAGGACTTGCTCATATTTTTAAGGTCTGACAAGAAAATGGCTGATTAAATATAACACGCCAAACAGCCTTTAGATTGTTTTTTTCATCACAAGACTTTTAATATGTACATAGAAAGTCTTACACTAAGAGTGCTCTCTCCAGCGACACATAAAACCATTTAAAAAAACAGATAAATCAGCTTCTAAGACAGACACTCTTTCATGGACAAGTTCACTGAAATCCTCCTTTAACAACATGGCATGTCAGACATTCCTGGGACTAGTGGTTTTAATTTAGAGTGAAAATTCATGCTTTTTTTCATCACTTTATTTACACCTCTCTAATTGGTGGAAAGTCTTTTTAGAATGTCATTTGGTGATGCAGATCTTCAGAAATCACAGCGATAAGGAGCTTAAATTTCACCGGTGTACTCTTGTTTTAATCATTTTCAACAAGTAAACATATATTTTTCTGTGGCCAGAAAGAGATGAAGGGGTGCCGTAGATAAGAGCGCGATGAAGAAAGTGCACCCTGCAACTAGAAAACAAAAAACTGGATCCATAAACTGATGAGATCTCATTTTTTGAAAAAACAGATACTCACCATTTCTAGGTAATGACTTATTTTTAAACAAAATAACAACAGATCCACACAACTATGCCCCCTGTTCCCGTTCCTCCAATATACCAACACACATGCACACCCACGTTATACAAAACCCGAGTCTGTACAAGTGTTTCATTAGTAGCTATGTGGCGTTTCTGCTCATGCCATCTGTCATGAGGGGAACACTGTAATTCTGCTTTCACACAGCAGTGCAGCACTGCAGTGCAGAAATGGTAACGCTTTATACATTTCCCCAGTGCCGTGTTTTCTTCTACTGCAATTACCTCTGTCCAAATTGTGCAATAAAATTACTATACTGTTAATTAGAGGCTGTAATATAAAGACACAGACATCCTTTTGGCAGCTGATGACGTTAAAAGAAATCAGCTTATGGTTAGATAGCAGTAGAAATGCATACCCCAAGTGCTTAAAAATGCATTTAAACTCTGTAAGATAATATAGTACAATAGGCTTTTGCACAGCACACACTTTTAGTTGTCATAAAAGCACAGGTGTTACCACATTAAAATCACAGGGACAGGAGCCCAATCAGCTACGTGGAATACAGCCAGAGACATCATAAGAGAGTGACATGACACAGAGACGTTGATCACGTCAGCATGACTGGCACTCTGCAATGAGCTGTTAATTAAGCAATAATGCCGTGTAAGTGTGTGCTCACATAAAAAATGCCGGAAAAGAGAAACACTTTGTAGCTCTTGGACAATCACCAATGTTTTAAAGCATTTAAAAAAAAAAAATCCTATCTATTTATGGCCAAGTGACCACTGAAATTAAAATAATGGCTCTCTCCCCATTCATTTAAATAATCTCAGGAGAAGTCTTGAATACTTCCTGTGAAAGAAAACAATATGTTGCAAGTAAAAATCCTAGCCAGCAGCTGGCGACAGTTCTGGTTTGGAAGTCTTTAGGAAAGCAACTTTATTGCTCTCTTAAGCTAAGACCTCAGTACACACTTTCCCAGACATACTTGGTTTCATTTGCAAGTTTCAAGTTTTATTAAATACACAATCGTGTTCATTTTTGAAAATTATTGTCCCAAAATGTGTCAAATAGATGATAAAGCAGGTTGCTAATGTATCAGCTCATCCAAGACAGCTGCATTCAAAAAGCTCACAGCTTCAGGACCTAACCAGTCAGTGATAACAGGATGGCTGTTTCCATCCCATAGATACTGTTTTCATATTAGATGCTTTATAATTTTTTGGTAGCAGGTAGAAAAACTGTAAGAATCCCATCATGTTGTAGATGCCAGTTGGCTAACATGCCACATTAGTTCACTAGCTTACCTAGATTACAACCTTATGTATTATGGTGCTGATTGCACACAACAATAAATGGTACAACAAGAAATATGTACTGTATTACACACAATTGCTTTTATAACCACAACTCAGAATACTAAAGCTGTCCACACATAAACAGGCATTTTGGTAAATGTAGTCTTTTGGCCCTTCATCCTCATGTTAACAGTGTTTTAGATAAAAACTCCTTTGAAAACTCAATTTCTGCAGAGATTTTTATCTCATAACTTTATTTCCCTTCCTGACATCAGACTGTGCTGTTGTGCTATTATTTGTGGGATTTTGATAGGCCGACATTTTTTTATGGTTAGGTTTATGCAACACTTTGGCATTTTTTTTTTCACTTTAATGTGTCTGATTATATTTTTCCAAACAAACTCAGAAAAATCCCCATTTTTAAACAACATAATAATACATCCTCTTTGAGCCAATAAATGGCAAATTAAATTTGTGGGATTTGTGGGATATGTTACTAATGCAATAATCATGCAAATGACAAATGTACAAAAGTTAGCTTTTGCTTTGTTTTTGATCTCATGTGATTGTAGGCTCCTGGGCTCTTGCTATTGTTCTGTCTAGTAGTCCTTTAAGACATCATTATCATGTCGTTTTGAGCTGCTTTATCTGAGATGTGTTCAATTTCCAAATTAAATCGAGTCTTAATTTGGGACATTGTCTAAATGTGTGGGATGCGTGGCGGCAGGGAATGAAAAACAATCTGCACACCTACAGAACGTGAGACACCTGGTCACCTGCTGCACCAATCACGCAGCAAAGGACAGGTCGCCAGCTGGGTGTAACAATGCAGTTGATATGCAGCATTAGCAATTTCATCACAGGCAAATCAACTTTGTTGTCATTATGGTTGTACAGAAAATGTCACAGTGCAGCATGCAAGACATACAGTACATACTATACAGTAGTACAGCATTGTAGTGAGTGGACAGTCTCATGTATATCACAGTTTTGACTGACGGGATGCTTACTGGACCACGGGTGTGATCAGTATTTTTTCTCTCTCAAAAAGCCTTTAAGCTGAATCGGTTTTGGCGGTTTTTCAAGAGACATAATTTTAATCAGGGCTAGAGTGCCAGGGTATTGTCAATATAATCCAGTGATGAAAAGCACCCATTCAAATAGTAAGTACAGTAAAAAAAAAAAAAGCCTTACTTGTACTTTATTAAATAAGATGTTATGATACTTAAAGAAACAATAAACTTAAAACCTTAATGTTTGTTTGGGTGAAAATGTCCTGCAATCCCCATTATCATTAATCAGACACTTAATCAATGTTCCTCTGATACACCACAAATGGCATGGCTATATGAAATCTAAATGATGCAAATAGCTGTTCAGTGTTTGGAGCTGTAACATGGTTAGGTACACTTGAAACACTTGACTGTTATTAATGTGTTATACACCTCATCTTTCGTCTGCCCCATCCATCCACACACTCGCCAAACTGAAGTATATCCATATAGGCACCTCTAAACACTACACCAGTATGCATTTAACACATTTGCTGCACCGGCTGGATGAATCATTCAAACATGACAAAATCAAACAAAAATGTACCGCACGAGGTGTTTTGAAGCAACTGCATTTAGAGAATAAACACGAGAAATCAGTGTTAAAATAGCAGCGGCCGTGTGACTCCAGTGCTGACATTTAGTGAACATTTAATTTGATAAGCACAGGTTGTGACTGAATGAGAGATAAGGAACATAAAAAGCATCACACTGAAGCCTATTTAACCAGATAAAAACATGATGGATTCAAGGGACTGGAAACTATCAGGGAGAGGAAATAACATTTTTTTTTTCTCCAACTATCTGCTTTGAGGCTTGTCTTTGTATCCTGGCACTCTGCTGGAGTTAGAGCGCTCTCACTGCCCACAGTGCAGTTGCCGTCAGCTCTACAAATATGTAAAAGCAGCCAGTGTGACGGGGAGGAGCATGGGAACTGAATGCTGATCAACTCATTCACAGTCAAGCCGCATACCAGCCACACTGACACATTTCATCACCTGTACTATTTACCAACTTTTTATCTCTGCAACTGACTACTTCAAAAAGGAATTACTCAGAAAATATGCCTTTTTTCTCCTCCCCCACCACAGATACAATGTTCTACCAACAGTACAGGAAATGACTGAAGTTATTTTGTTCAGCTGGATGCCATCTAACTGCTGTGTGACTGCCTTTGTGTTGTCTTTGGAGCTGGGGGGTTAAAGTCTGCAAGGTATTGCGCTTGAGAAAATAAAATATATATTGCACAGCAAACAAAGCAATAGCGACAGACCTTTTTATAATTTGGTTTAAAGGATGGGTACTGCATGCATACAATATGTGAAGTGAAGGTTTCCCTGACTTTAAGTTAAAGGAAAACAGATTCAGTGTTTTCACTATTCACTTTGACTCTGTGTGTCTTTTGGAAATCGCTCTCCCCAGTTGTAAGTACAAAGTGGATGTGTGACATGCAACCACCAGTTCCCCTAACACAACTTTCATATGTCATATTTTCTAACAGTTGCAACATACAGTAGATGCTGACTTCGGTGACATTCATCAATGTTGAATGCCAAAATAAACTAAATAAATAAATAAAAAGAATTCAATGCAATGTCTCTAGCAGCATTTTTTTCCTTCGTCTTCTTTTCTTTCACACCAATTTATCATCTCATTCAACAGTTTATAAAGAACCGGGGCGATAATTAATTGACAAAAATAAACAGCATTTAAAGATTAAGACACCAAAGGTACTCCAAGACAGAGCTGCTGCAAGGCTCAAACTTGGCAGTTTTCTTAAAGAAATAGCGGAGCACTCGGATCACACTGAAGCTGACAAAACAGATAGATTCAGCAGACAGGTTAATGGTGAGACACAAAGAGAGACATAAGATGCACAAGAGAGAGTCCAACGTTTCTTTTAACTAGTCCACTGCGAATCTCCATCCACCGCTCTCTCTTGCTCCTCTCTCTTTATCGGACCAGCGCCTCACCAGCGGGCTACTTGGCTCGTGTAGTCCTCGGTGGTGGCTGGGAAGTCACTCTCAGTTTCCTTCTCAAAACCTCCTCCCACTCTCCCGCCTCTGTTGCCACCGCCTCTGTGTTTGGGCGGCCAAGGCCTGACCTGGTCTCTCTGCTCCCGCAGCCAGCGCTTCTCCTCGCGCCTCTTCAAGCGCACTTCCTGGTGCTCCCTCTGGCGGGTGAACTGGAAACGCTGGAGGAACAGGTCCTTTGCATATTCGTACAGCTGCATGTCCAAGTAGTTGAGGTCCTCAATGCGTTTGCGCACAGTCTCGCTCAGGTCCACGTTGGCAGCTCGCGTGCTGTTAATCTGCGTGAAGGCAGAGATGAAGCGCAGGCTGAACGTCCGCTCAAACAGGTACTGGGTCTTACGCTGAAACTCGGTCAGGCCGTAGAAAGCCATGTTCTTCAAGTTGCTCATGGCGCTGCTTAAAAGGATATGGTTGCGCTGGCTTTCGTTCATGGAGGACAGGTTGTAGCAGCCCACCAGGCTCAGGTCAGCCAGCATGCGGACCTGACGGTTGTTCGCCAAGTTCGACGGGCAGTTCATGAACTCTGTCAGGGTGACGCCGGACCAGTCGTCCCCACTGTAGCAGGTGGGCAGCTCGTCCTGGGTGGGTGAACGTCCATCACACATATGGAGGGCGGTCTTCCATGTGGCTCCTCTCTGGACATGTTTCCACTCGCTCAGGTAGCGGGAGACTGGGTCGCGCAGCATGGTGATGTAGTAGAAGTTCCTGCAGCCAAAACAAACACAGTTAGAGAGCTGTGAGCGCATCACTATCACAGAGGGTCGCCCTGCATTGTGCTGACAGATGGTGACTTTTGTCTGAGCATAAAACTTCAAGGTTGAATGCTAATTGGAAAACTGAAACTCTCACTAATGAGGTTGTTACAGTTGGTTTCTATATATTGCCCTTGAAAATTGAACCCTTGCACCGGAGCAATGAATTTACAAAACTGAAATAGGGCTGTTTCCATTCCACAGATTTCTTCCACCTGCCAACACAGAGAATAATTGGGATTCAAGACACAGAGTAACCCATAGTCATGGAGAAAGTGGGTAAAACTGACCCAGCTAAATCCTAAACATGTCATTTTTGCAAAAATAATGAGGTTTCAGCTGTCGCGTTTGAAATCTGTAGCACATTTAAATGAGTATCCTGTTGTTATCAACAGCAGGGCTTATAGAAGAGAACACATCTGATTTGCTTTTTTTTTTTTTTTGCTGATGAACAAATGGTAAACACCCCCACACACAACCCAAGTGAAAATGCCAGTGAAAATGTCATTTTCACTCAATATGGAAAACAAAGAACCAATCACGACTTCAATGCATAAGACTGTTGCAGTGTCGACAAAGGTGTATATGAAAAAAAAGAGTGAGTGACAAAGCTCTGTGGTTGACAATCAGTCTCTATACTAATAACATAAAAAGCAGCGACCTATCCCAGCTGTCACAGGGCGAGCGCACAAATTACATAGAAGTAGAAGATTTTAGTTTTCGCTTCACAGTGACAACCTACTCAACTCATGCTACGACTATCCTTCGTACCAGTCTGACCTCTACAAGCAAATGCTGTACTGGAGCTGCGTCAAAGCCCATTCAGATGAAAAACAAAGATCAGACAGGTGTTGGCTAGGTAAAGCTTTCCTAAGATGATTTCCCGTGAGATTCATGCATATTTAATGACGCTGCCGCCCCCCTGAGAGCACTCCGGGCAGGTAAAGTGGCGTGCGACTTCTGAGATTTCACTCTGAGACCAAAGCAGCTCTCAATGCTGCCTCAGTGCTTTCAGAAGAGCAAATATCTGCACAGTCTTACCCACGAGTGGGGAAAAAAAGTTACACAAAGAGTTCTCTTTGCTTATTCGTCTGGTAGGATTGAGTACGGGAAAAGAATAAGGGGTTGTGAAGTGCTATCTGCACACAATACACTTGGTATACTTTAATTTTTGGTAAACCGGAGGCACTTCCAAGCATGCAGCTGGCATTTCACCCCCATATTAACATTTTATTAATTCCATTTTAATTAAAAACATTTTAAGACAGAGAGAATATGAAGTTGATCACATGTAAGAATGGCATAAATTCAAAATGAAGAACATGCAAGTGAGTTTATGCGATGAAGATTCATCTTAACAGTGCCAAAGGAACACCACTCCTGAAATGTTACCCAGTATGAGTCAGGCAAGAAGCTGTCATTACATCCCCGGTAGCAGCAGCTGCATACTGGCACTTGCTCCTGGAGTAGGCTGGCTGCAGATACATCCTCATTAGACTAGGGACATAAACACATGCAGCAAGTGTTGTTTGAGTGCACTCGACAGCCCAAAGGTCAGTTGTGTGCACCATCAATGTCAAAATACATCAGGATCAGTGGGTGTGCAGAGCTGTCTCGAGGAGGCTTTCCCTGAGTGATACAGATGGCTGTCGAGGGGGGAGGGGGGGTACGCTGACAGGATTCTTTTACTTCTGACCTGTGGTAACACCAGTACCACCCTCACAGTTACTTCTCATAAAAAACAGGGGAAAAAAAACACACTGTAAGGCTGTTGTAGGAAAAGTGCAGCTTGTCTTGTACGGCAAAGTGGCGCCAAATCTTGGCATCCACTTGCCAAGATTTCCCAGCCTATTTTAGCGTGCTGAAATCCAGAACCCCGCTGAACTCTAGTTAATCATGGATCAATAATGGATAGGAGGCATATTGCGGCTCATTCTGCCCCAGAATGCTCATCTCTAAAGGAGCAGCAGCAGCAGCATGACTTCAGTGGAGCACAAACTAAACTGGGGCCATTAAACAGAGATGAAAGAGGAATTTAAAAGTATGGATAAAAATGGAAACTAAAGTGGGGAGTGGAACTGAGTAAGAAGCAGGTGCTGACAGGAATATTAAAGTCCAGCGTAATTTATACAGACGTATATAATGGACATGGAAGAAGCTTGATAGCACGTGAATGAAACTATATCTGACAGACACAACAGAAAAAATGTCTTGCAGTAATTGGATTCAATGGCTATAAAAAGGTATTTGTTATTCATTTAAAGTTTTGTTTTTTTTATCATAAGCTTCATGTTCTCAATAATTGATTAAAGAGCTATTTTGAGCATTTTTTGAGAGAACAACACACACTCTGTATCTGTAATCCATACATATTTATTCTAAGCAGGTTCTTGGGCATTCAAAGTGACTCAAATAACAAATAAAAAAAATATATTCGAAGAACTCAGAAAGAATACTAAAAAAATTGTAGTGCTTAGAGTAGTGTGCTGATGTACTTCAGTGGTGGTGTTATAGGGACACATCAAAATATAATGCAATGTTCTTCCTGTGCACAACAAAGCCAGGAAAAAAACACAAAAAAACACAAAAAAAATACAAAAAAGAAGCAGAAAGGTTCAGTGCAGAGTTTTAGACTTAGCACGATAGAGCTATGGAGTCTGCTGTTTAGTACACACGGACAAAAAGACAAACAGGCCCCATCGAAGGCAATGTCAGGGTGATGTGATAGTGCTGTATTAGTAAATACAGGAAATGATAACAGAAAACATTCTGCATTTTAAAAATCATAAAAAAGGCCTTTAGTTTTAGAGGAAGAATCGCAACCTCCTGAGATCTTGTTTGGGATGCATTTTTAATTTCTCCAAGCTATCTGGGATTAGCTAGACCTGATTAGTATAAAAATGAAAGATCATCTCTGAACAGAAAGTAATTTTAAAAAGGCATCACTTCTTAGGTTGACAGCGAGTTTTGTGCTTTTTTTTGTCACCATTGCAACTGTGGAATTAAAGAAATTATTTTATGGCTACGATATATTCTGCATCATTAATGATATAATCTATAGTATTGATACTGCATTAAGATGTTTATTAAAACCTGCTGACTTTACGTTAACCTTTTATTACAGGTACAGCTAAGACCATTTTATACACATTGCATGTTTGTGCTCATTCAGTGTTGATGCTCAGTCTATTAAAGAAGGTTTTAAGCTTTGTGAAGCGCGATGTGTCCACAATCTATTGTGTAGGTGACTTGGATCTATAGAATGTTAAAAGTGCATATACACGCTTACAAAACACATATAGTGCATATAATCTAGAAACAGGCTTGAGTGAAGGCCTGAATGTATTCAGCTTCTTGTCGTAACCTGTGGCACTTGAGTTTGCTTAGCAACAGAAGACAGAAGATGGGTCAAAAAGAAGAAAAGTCCACGGGTATCTCCAGGGCCTGAAATCATCGCCATATTTGGGAAAAGATGTTAGAAAGAGGAACTTCTGTGTCTGACCTTAGCTCTCAAAATTGTCTCATTGTCTGTACAAGATGCAAATGATGTTCTTAGAAATACAAAAATATGTTATAGAACGCCAGAAGGGGCGTTTAACCCTGATGATATATAAACCATTCTCTGTGTATTTTTGGCATAAGTCCGCAGATGTGATGCCGTGTACTTCTTCCCGCACGTGTGTTCTTTAATAAACTCTTTATCTGATTGCACTCTACTGGGCCTCCATTGGTTTGTTTTTGTGCCACTTGTTGAATTTGGGACACAACTTACGATGAAACGCTTTATTAAGCAGAATGAAGCAGAAAGTACAGAAAAACCTAAATGGAATGTTCCCACAAGAGGACGCAGGGTCTCAAGAGGTTAAACCACAAATTCATGCTACACCACAAAGAGATAAAGACATTTTTGTTGTATCGTTCCTTTTTTGGATGTGAAAATAAACCAGAAACAACTTGTAGCAAAGTAACAGACGCAGATGTAGCCTTGTTCGGTTTAAAGACATTCACGGTAGGTCAAGAAAGTGCTAACAAAGAGCTCGAAAGCTACAAAAAACTGTTATGGAATGTGACATAACAGTTCCACGGGAGTATAAACGATATATTTTATTTTTTATTCTTTTGGAAAACATTTCCTCTGTGCACAAAAATCTAATAATTTTCTGTAAGCTTGAAACAGCTTATACGTAGTAAATATCAGTATACTCATGCTGCACACTCGGAGAGAGCGTGAGAGCATGTTTAATACAATCACAACTCTAACATTTTAACGCTCCGTTTTGACCATACTCATTTTAGCAAATTTAATAGTTCACAGACAAAAACAATAAACCAAGCACTCATGGTGACATCATTTTATAGATAGATCAGAATCAGGTGGCACTCCAGGATATGTCAGAGAGTCGGGTTATTAAAAATGCATGGCGACGGGTAAATTATTGTTGAAATTAGTTTGGATTATGTGGCTATCCATCCAAAACTGACATGAGATATGTTCCTAAAAACAAAAACAGCCTCTTAGAGTGTACAAGAAAAATCAGGGGACTGATTTCATGCTGTACGAACCCTGAATACTTGTATGAGAATTTCATAGCAATCAATCCAGTTGTTCAGTGACCATCAGATCCACCAACCAACTGAAGCTGCCGACCCCTGAAGTGCTGTTCAATGAATATTGTCAAAGAAATGTAACCTCCTAAACCCATACTACATAAAGAAACGGGTAGTTCCAGCCTCAGCTGGTGACAGTGAACAGACAACTGGCTTTTAATTGCCTGTAATTAGCCTCAGTGACACAATTCCAGCCCACTGTTTCTCCCTGATTGCAGGCTGCTGAAAAGGACATTTCACTTTCAGCCTGAGCTCATCTTGTTTGAAAGTGGACAAACTGAATTCACTTATCAAGACATTCGTGTGTGGGAGTTGGATATTGTTGTAGGTGCTTGAGGGTGGGCT